ACAATCCATGCCTACTTCCTGTTGGATTTTTTCTTGAACCTGGTGTTGCCAGTGTACAGTGGTTTCGTTTCTGCCGTGGTCACCAACCGATCTTCTCGCTCATTTCGCTTTCCAGTGCCGTTTCTACCGACGTTTTTTACCGGCACATCTTTAGCCGACCTTGGCACTGAAGTCTCCCATGAGGAGGTTATACGTGGACTCTTGGACCAGTGCCTGTAGCACTTCTTGATAGACTTTTTCCACGTCATCCTCAGCTGCACTTAGAGGGGAGCATTGGTTTGGACGATCTTACGGACTTTTTCTTGTTTAGTTGGTGTACAGTGCACCGTGACTTCGCTTGGCAGGAGATGAATTTTGGGAATCAGGTTTTACCGACTACAAATCTGATTCTTCCTCCGTTATTTGCGTCCTCTTTTCGTAACCAGTTCGAACAACCGTCCTTTCAGATACCATTGATTTCCTTCCGTTTTCGTGTCGCAGGCCAATCTGGACCGTTCTTTTATTGGTTATTTTAAGGTTGTTCTCGCATCAGTGTTGTAAAATTGTAGGTACAAACGGGAGGTAGGTCCGCGCCCGTCTACCAGATGCTGGCCTTTCGCTCAAGATTCTTAGCAGCCTCTCATCGGTCAAATACCGAACGGCCGCCGTGTAACGGGTTGAGAGACGCGCAGGAGGCCGAGGGCCCATTTGTTAGTGGTGTCATGGTGCATTAGATTTAGCCATCCGCTCTTTGGGTTGGCGGTAACCTGGTGCATTTCGTCTTGTCCCAAATTCCGTCCGGTTTTTATTATCGAGGTTGTCTCTTCTAGTCTGATAAAATGATTTCTAACCGTAAGGCAGCAGTGACATCGACGGCCTTTGTTTCTTCAAGCGGATGTCGCTTTCGCCTCAACGTTAGACTGTCATTGGGTACTGTGATTTCTCTTTGAAAATTGAGTTCGAACCCGACCACGATTTGGTGGTTTCAGTGCTGCGTGTCGCTAGTGTTTAATTGTTGAAACTAATCTTTGCCTCTGGAGATCGTTCCCATATCCACGACCCGGGAACGCGCCAGATTGCCAACAGCCAAGCACACAGAACGGTGTGTTTGACAGACATACCAGATTAGACGTACCTGTGAATATTACAACGTGTTGAATGGAAGCAGGAGACTATTTCCAGTGCTTGCCACGAGATTGTTGGAATTGTCTTCATAGATAAAACATTCGTGGCTGATGACATCATAGAGTGGATCAGCGCAGAATGAAATTTATTTCGAAAGATGCCACCAGTGGCATACACTACAGGTATCTTAGAGACCGATTTCCCCGCGGATTCGAAGACGAGTGATTAGTTTTTATGGGTCTGCTTTCTTCTTATGGATTCATAACTGACGTTTCTTCTTTAATTAAGGGTTACTCAGTCGGCAGAGCGTCGGAGTGACAGTTAAACGATCATGAATTTAATCTCCTCGTTGACTACGCGTGTTTTATCCATTCCAGATGGAAAAATTATTTTAGATTACCACTTTGTGAGAAAAGGAACTAAGGGGCTTCACGCGACGCTCGCCACATGTGTTGATGTTGCGTTTTAAATAGGGATTCCAGGCTGACTGCCTAGAAATAGATATCAGTGCCACACCACACGCTTCATAAAAAGTGGGGTGCCACAAATGGCGTCCATCGTGGAAGTTCAGCGGAGACCGATATACATTCGGTAAATTTGCTATTCTTTCCAATTTTCCTACAGCGTTGGTTCCTCGTGTATGAAATTTCGCATACAGGGTTATGCATGTAACTGGAAAATCAGTGTGATAAAATTTGCTGAAAATTTGATATATTTTTGGAACCGTTGTATATGATTACTTTATCCAGTTGCTTTTGTTGACCAAAATTACATTTGCTCCAAGAATGAACGATTTTGAAGAAAGATTCTAAAAAACTTGTTGCTATAAAAATTAAGTTGCTCCTGCTACTATATTTGATGATTTCTGTTTTCGAGTAAGTAATGTTTTTATAAGTGTCAGTTTGATGAACTTTATGTTCACTTTCACTTTGTGTTCAGTTATACCGAACATTCCACTGTTGGTCTAGCTCAGGCTTGGGACCAGCTAGATCAGTTAGCGATGCGGATGCAGCATAATCTAGAACAGCAAATCCAGGCCAGAAACCAGTCGGGCGTATCCGAGGAAGCGCTAAGGGAATTCTCCATGATGTTCAAGCACTTTGATAAGGTGTGACCTTTTACGATTCGCTAATTTTCTGCTGTTAACGCTAAGTTATTGGTTACTGTGTAGGAGAAGACCGGTAGATTGGATCACCAGCAGTTCAAGTCTTGCTTGCGTGCCTTGGGGTATGATTTGCCAATGGTCGAAGAAGGACAGCCTGACCCCGAGTTTCAACGATTTTTGGACATTGTAGACCCTAATAGGTACCTTATTATGTGGGTTTTTACTGTCTGTTGTGTAAGAATGCATTATGAACTGTACGTGCTTGTTTAATTGCTCGTTTTAGCGTCTTGTAGAAATCGTACGATTGGGTTATCAGTGTGAAAGAGTTCGAAACTGAGATTTCTATTTACAATCTACTTCGTGGATACTGGGTTGTGTGGCGTTCAGAATAGGAGTGCCGATTTTCTCACCGGAACGAAATAAATGAGAATCCTTTTCCAGTAACTGTCCGTTTCTTCTCACTGACTGTAGCCAGCCGTTCTGATTAGCGTTCACTGATTAAAGGTTTGCGGTAGTAGAATTATTCGCTGCTTCAGCGTAGCGAAGATCTGCTTGTATGCCGTTGAGTGCATGTTAAATTACCTGAGGCATACCACTGTATAGTATGTCGAACAGCACTGTCAGGTACAGACAGTAAAAGACATGGTGTTTTATCGTGTTATTTTAGTTGACAGATTCATATGGTGGCTCTGTTTTTTCCTCAGGAAATGTACTGCCTCCTATTTTTTGGCTTTGCAAAATGATAACATAATTTAAAGTGGCTGAAAATGATAAGGTAATTCAGAGGCCGCTCTAAAGCTATTTCAGAAAAGACAGGCAGTTTAGATACAGCCAAATGAATGATGTCTCTCAGAATGCAGAGATCTTTACAATGCTGCATGGCGCATAGTTATAAGGTAGATAAACGAATTTAATACAACTCAAGTCGCACACCGTGAAGTAGCGTTTTAGAAGAATTCTTTGCTCAGGTTCTATATAGATTGTTCATGTCCCTTATGCAATTTAGGTTCTCGATATTAAGCTCTAATGCCTTGTGTGTTTGCCCTAGTTGGCACAGCTGACTCAGAGTGTTTTCTAGGGATGGTTATGTTACGCTTCAGGAATACATGGCTTTCATGATCAGCAAAGAAACCGAAAACATCCAGTCGAGTGAGGAAATTGAAAGTGCCTTCCGGGCTCTGTCTAAGGACTATCGGCCGTATGTGACTGCAGAGGAATTATACGCGGTAAGCGAGTAGATTCGATCGCTTGTCCTGCATTGATCTTCGTTAAATGTTTTTCAGAACCTTTCTCCTGAGCAGGCCGACTACTGCGTCAAACGCATGAAACCATACATCGATCCTATGAGTGGGCGGTCCATTCCTGGAGCGCTAGATTACGAAAACTTCGTCCATACGTTGTTTCAAGTTAATTAGTGATGATTATGTTTAATGTTTTGCCAGTTCATTATGTTCTTCGAGCAAGTTATTAGCTAGTTGTCATTGCTCCTTTTGTACATCGTAGATTTAGTAGCTTATTTGCTCATTATTTATAATTTTATAAGCTCTGCGTTATATGTCTAATTGTCATTTGCGTATCACGCGGCATCTGCTGTCGTGCTGCGTTCTCCTTATGAAAGTAAAGTCTTTATTGATTGCGTGTATCGTGAAACCGAGCAAACTAACTGAAAACGTATCTTTACTAACTGCGTTTGATGGCAATTATGAGCAGCAGTTGCATTCTAGTTGCGTTTATTATGGCTGGGTGGCGGAAAATACCCTGTTCACCTCGGGAACTTAATCTTGATTTGTTACGTCGAGGACAGACTTTCAGGTTAGCGCTCTTTCTCTATTGTTTTTGCGATTACGATCAGCGAGGACACTGATTTATCAATAATAACATGACTTGGAGGAGTATGGCTTCTAACGTGACAGAAATAAGATAAAACATTCAATTTCTTTCATTTCGGGTTCACGTGGCAGAAACCATTATCTAGCGTAACAGCTGACTTGGTCGTTGATACGATGCAGTTGCGTAAACTGCGCTGGGTAAAGGCTTCGTTTGGTACTATTCTCAAAGGCAGCTGCTGAGGGGCTTTCTTGTATCATGAAATCGGGGTTGCTCAGTCGGACTGAACGCCAAGATGTCCTGGGCTCGAACCCAAATCGGGTCATTCGCCTTCTTTCTTCTCCCGAGGTTAATAAATGCGTACCGGTCTGTGGAAGTAAATAAGAGATTGCGCACTACGCTTGCCATATGCTATAGACTGCCTATAAAAACGGGCAGATCTGACTGATGGCATAGAAGCCATAAACTGTGTTAAAGTACCACCATAAATAGTTCCTAACCAGGAAGGTTGGAAAGCAGACCGACATTCCAATGGTTAGAAACTCCTTTCCCCTGTTTTAATGTTTACTTCCGAAAGTGTAATACTTAGCAACACATTTAGATCATGAATGAGTTATAACGAAAAGAATGACGGTTCACAGAGCCATTAAAGATTTTATTAAAAACGATTTCATTTTAGAGGTAAACGCATCGCTCAGGCTACTTCGACCTGGCTTCTAAAATGAACAAAGCATCGCTGTAGTTATTGCCGATTACTTCCACTAATTGGCAGGTTCTTACAGCAAGCGATGAAACGAATTCACGATACTTTCTGAATTCAGAACTTTCACAAATTCAGCTGAAGTAGCTACGCTGAATTAGTTTATCAAGATGTACGTTTGTTGCCCGTATCTTGCAGTCATGGACTGACCGACCCAGTTTAGATGCTTCATGTTTGTCTTGTAAGAATTGATTCCATAGTTTCTGAGCTATATATTAACTCTACCTGATTCATCTTTATGAATATTGATATCTGTAGCGCTTTTTGTTACGTTTCATATCACAAACTTTATTCGATCCACCGCTGCGATTCTTATGTATCTTCATTCAGCGAACTTCCTCTGACGCTGACATCGATCTTGAGGTCTTCCCGAGTGCCGCTTATTCTCAGAACCCACGCTAATATCTCTAATCGAATGATGGTGTTGACACTTTGAAGCATGTCCAGCTCATTGCCACTCCGTCACATTGCAGACTCCTGTTTGCCGTGTGTCCTTCTTTCGCCTTTTTATTTTTCCTAGCTATTTCCAACACATCTTTGTATGCTACGTTGCACAGTTTGCGGTTCATAAACCTGCTTTCAGGCCTAGGGTGTGGATTGCGCAGCTATCGCTTAACACTGGAGTTACAATGCTGATTTAAGACTTTCCGTTTTAAGCACAAAGGTTTCCCGGTTAGAATCTTTCATATATTAATGTTAAATTCAAATCAATTAAATTCAAATGTGAATGCAAATGTTGAATTTCCAATCTTGCTTCATGCCACTTTATGTAGGCACTGACATTTATATTGATTTTGCAAAGAGGAGCTGTCCCAGATAGACGTAATTTCACATATCTTCAAGCGTCAATCCAGCAGGTTACGGAATATTTGTCAAACATATCCCGTTTGCTTAAGGTTCATTGTTAGTCTTGTTTTGATGCTGGCGTCGTTCAATGTTACATCTTCAGTTTTTCTGCTGACCTTGAGGATCAGAATATGAAAACCGCAAGTAGCTTAAATAGTGCCTATTTATCTTAGCCTGATTGTACGAGTGTCTTTGAAGCCCCTTCTACAGCTGCTTTGAATAACTTGATAGTCTGTTTCCCTGTCAGACAACCTCTTGAAGTTTGATCTTGTTGATTCTTTCGTGACATAGTCAAACCAGCAGTGACATTCTTTTAGATCGTGGTTGTGAGATCCCTGTATGTTTTTTTGATTCGCTGTTTCCTCAAAAATCCAATACCTGGTTAAGACGGAGTCGAAAGCCTTCTCTAAATTGATGAACCCCAGCTAGAACGGAAGTTCACGTTAGTTGCTTGTCTGAAATGGTTGTTGTACTACCTGATGGTTGTAGTATGTTACGAAT